AACGGTGATGATGCGAAAATATAGAACAAACCTTAGAAACATCTCTCACAAAACCCATTCGTTTCTTCTGCACATTTTGCTATCATCAATCACGTGCCTAGAAAAAAATCCAGCAAATCAGTGGAATAACGTAACGCTAACACAAAAGCTTACGTAGGTATTAGCGCAGGTAAGCTGCAGGGTAAATTTGATTGACTAATAAGCCTCGCTTTTTTTGTCTAGGTTTTTTAGGTTTAGGCAGCATGCAAAAGCTTATAAGAAATTTGTGTATGAAAAACCTGTGTAAAAAAAGAAAAGGAACTTACCCAGTACGCGTGCTACCATACCGTATGTGCTCCATTGTGAACTGAGAACTTTCGTGTATGGTGCTTTTAAAATTCAATATTGCCACGGTACGTACGTGTGATGAAAACTCAAAAAAATCTCATAGAATCAGGAAAACTCAGCGTTGGTTTTCACTAGTTGATTCTTCCTTGACACCGAAACAACTACCATGGGCGCCGACGCGCGCTGTTAGTGCTTCATCGATTTCAAAAAGCGTCGGCTTAACGTCTCTAAGGTGACGGCGGTCCATGTTATTGCGCGCAAATGTCGCAAGAAATCGCTCACTCATGATAAGGTGCCACATTTGTGATATTCTTTTGGAACAGCTCATTCACCTACATAAATATGGCGGAATACTGTGGCTTAAATGAGTGGGTAAGACCAACCGGTCAATTATATGTTTAGTGCTCAAGTAACTTACACGGCTGCGATAGCAGTGCTCTTATGTCGCGTAGAACTGAGAAATAGGAAAGTGTTTTCTTTTTTGGTCATTATGTTATGTTTTTTGGTGTTTTTTTTTTGGCTATGGCATATAACTAAAGTTTTCTTGAAAAGACTTATGTTAAAGCCACTACAATGTATTAAAAATCTGCAGTATGCTTCCTAATGCGTATCAAATTAATATCAAGTCCTTAAAATTTATATGATATTAAATTTGTCACAGATAAGACCTGGCTTAGTTGAACTTTTTTGAAAGAATCCGTGTAATACTATTGGTAGTCTCTGGTCGAGGTCAGAAGTTTACTAGGATGAGGATCTCGAAGCGGTTCCCGAAACCCAATTATCTCGCGACTGTTTTCAACTGAACTCGAAATTTTTCTGGAAAAGCTCCAGCTAGAGCTGAACATAGCAACTGCTGTTCAAAGAATCGGCGGTCTGCGTTTGCTTGTTGAGATTTAGCTGTGCATGTCAGCGTGTATATGCTCTAACTCTGAGATCTAGTTTGAGCTGATATTTCGTGAGTGGAAAGGCTATCCATAGTCATAATCATTAATGCTCTAGGCCATGGATATCACTGGAGTTTTCACGGCAGGATTAAATTGCTTAGCCGAATCGATATTTTATAGTGAGATACTTTCAAGACATATAACTTATCTTATATTTAGGTCGATAGCAGTTATTGCAAATCGTGCTATTGCCGAACGAGGAAGTCACACAGCTGATAATAACTTTTTCCCTTTTGTATTTACGATTAATTTTTACGTTGCTATTAACATTATGAATCTAATGACTATAAAAGCCAAGTTAAAATTTTATTGTCCCAGTATGAAATCAGAAGGCCTACAGGTTAGAACGTACATTACAGGCCACATCTAAAATAAAGTCAGAAAGATACGCTAGGACGACAAAGATTGCTTACAGAAGAAATCGTTTGACCAGCGCTTAAGTCAAATCCAGTATCCAGACGGAGTCTATGTGCACGGATCCCACGGAGCACAGGGGTGTATTTGTACAAAAGTTGATACTGGTTCGTATTCCTGCCGAATGCAACGCTGTACAACACCTAAGTTGTGAGTGCCTGACACTGTGGACTTCCGAGGCGATACAACTGCCGAGTACTCTATAAGGAGATGACTGGCCCAGCATGTGTCGTTTTACGATATTGAAACTTTACATTTGAAGCAACAAACATACGTTTGGTATCGTCCTGTCAGTCCGTCAAATTTATTCGGCATACAAATGTCCTGCTATCCCGTTTTCGTGTCCAGCCCCACCACGTCAACGGTCGTACTCGTATTTACAGTAAACGTACTAAATATATAAGGGCATTTTACCAACTCGGTGCGTTTGCTTCGGAAGTAGCTCTTCGTCTCGAATTTTTCGTTATATCATTTAACACTTTTAGCTTATGTTATATTTAACGCTAGTCTTTCATTCATTCATTCATTCATTCATTCATTACAGGCAAGATAGGGCTATCGAATGCAAGCACAGAGATCAGGAAGGACCGAACTGTCTGTAAGGGATGCCTCTTAACATTGACAAGTCTTTGCCCTAGAGAAATTCCCACATGAAATTAAAGATCCATTTCTTTTTGGATCTATACAAATAGCATTCAACTGCGCTCAATATATGATCGAACGGGTGGCAAATGGTGGCTAATAATGCTTCCTGCCTAACCAGACCCGTAAACGACTTAATATTGACGTTTCCAATAGGCACTCCAGATCAACAAGCACTGAGCAATGCTATAAAGAAGAGTACACTGCTTGAGTTGAACCTCGAGAGGTAATATGCCATCAAACAATTCAAAAAAAGCTGCCGTAGCGAGTGTATTTTTCATCAATTTTATAAATTTCGGTATACAAAGCTGACAAAGTATATGAATGTCGTCACTTCTATGAAGTGCATTTAAAGAAGTTTGTCCAAAATAATAGTGTCTCCTATATTATAACGAACCTTTAAGTGACTTCGATACTTTTTTAGTTTGTTAAAAAAAATTATAATTTAATAGATATTATTTTTTCCTTCTAGTGAACGATAATCAATACTGTTGCGTCCTTCACAAAAAAACACATATTGTGGAGCTGACTTAATTAATCAAGTCAAAATATATTCAAAAATAATACGCTGTCGAACTGTTTCTATATCGTGTTAAAGCGTAGTCTATAGTAATCTCCTTTTTACACAATATAGTGAACACGAAGCATTAACTTACGCTCTCATTTGTATTGATTTTACAGGATGTATTACAAACAAAGGGTCCGATCGTCACATACCGTTCCGCAATGTTTCCGTACTGCGGCGTCTTAGGTTTCGCATACAGCCGAAACCAACTTGTCTATCCCGACTCGACATTTTCATATAACGAATCAAAGGTCGAGAAGTAGAAATGCTAGAACAACTTTTTTTAATCAAAAAGACCCGTAGCAGTCGTAATCACTAGAGTTCATGACAGGGCACAGTTATTTCATATTTTATATATCTTTATAATGGTAAGGAGATGACATATACACTGCGGTCAAGTGAGTGACGCCGATCTCGGCGTAATTCCGTTATTCCAATGGCTTTCTAAGTGTTGCTGAAGGACGGCTTACGAGCCTCGTAGATGTGTATAGTGCTCAGTAGAAGTGTGTCATTTGCTTAGTCGTGAAGCCTTAGGACAACCTGAACTCAAGATTTCAGATTATATTCAACTATATTCTAGGTGAGTTGAAGGCGTGAGAACAGCTGCTTAGATAAGTACATACGGGACTTCCAATAAACGAGGTTTATTATTAGACAGGACACGATTTCAAGCGCGATCGTAGAGGAGTGAATAAAATGTTATTTGCCATGGTCGTCGTTAGTAGCTATTTCTAAGAGTTGAAGTTTGCAAGAATGATCCAGGACGAAGCGACAGGCTAATCCAGTGAAACGTATGAACTGCTATTGGCGCTATAGGTTCTTTAGGTAATATGGACGTTATCGCACAGAGTTGCAGACACTAACCAATCAGTCTTCGTCGTTTACCCCTGAGTAACTATAATGGTGTTTGCTTGACAACTTTCATAAATAGCTGACTCCGGTGGGGCTTGTCGAATGTATTCAGGCTTCTTCAAAGGACGTACGTAACAGCATAAGTAAACAATTCGGCATCATGGCACCTATTCCTTTATCTATGGATAACAGGTTCCCTCTGGAGATCTGCTTTCTATCACCGAGTGATTAATGTGAGGTCTACTGGCTTCGTTGAGTCGACGGCACGTTTTGTTTCTAAACAGAATATAGCACCAGCCACGGTCTTAGATGGCTGAGTATTTCTATATATCTGCAAAACACGACAGGTCGACGATGCACGCTCCCAAGCAATATCCCAACGTAATACTATCGATCACAACTTTTGTTACAAGATTAACGAATTTTAGATACATTCTCATTAAAATGCAGGACCAGACGTACACAGACCATAGTTCCAAAGATGTCAGTTAATAGTGATCCGAATTTTACATGTATCTAAAGAACATGTCACCATGGGATCTAAAAATATGAACTAACCATTGAAATGTAAGCATGTGCACCTTAAATGGTTACCACTGATTTATATATTGTCAAATCCATGGAACGTAGACAATATTGGATATAAAAGATTTGTTCTCACGCCGAACGTTCTGCAGTAGAATGAAGTTAGCTAGACCTACTTGTTTGCTCAAAAAGAGCGTATTGAGCTTGCGAAAAAGTTTTTCTCAGCCTTTCATCAGTCGATTTCCCGACACGGAGATTTATGCTGAGCTATGCTCAAAATGACTCACGTTGCCAGAGACAATTTCAGAAAGCTATCCTCACTAAAAAGCTGGACGAATTTGCCCTCGCTAAAAGTTCGCCGCTGAAAATTCTGGATTGCCTACAAACAACTTACTTAATTAGTTTGCCAGTTGTTAGCTTAATTCGAATATTGGCTTATCCTTTAAGTGTTTGGATGCAGGCCCGATCAACTAACATACACTTTTACGATGTTTTCTTGGGTATTTGATCCTTTACTGTTCATATATAAAGAACTCCGTTTCTTGGAGGCTCGACTTCTACAAGAAGGAGATCCAGCTCTCTGTTTCGTTGGCCATTTTGCCCCTCTCCCACGCTCGAGGAGGAAAGGACAAATGGCGACCCTCTCCTTCAACATGCAACGTGCTTGGCCCTCGCGAGCAAAGTAGAAGGTGCGCCTTATTAACGATGGTGGCTGCACGTGAAATCTGCACCTAGCTTCTGGGCTGTGCAGGCTTCCGGTTGATAGTGCCGTGTGTTAAAGTGTGTCTGGCCATTATTATCACGAAGTTATTCCATAGTTAACTTGCGTACTTAGGTCGACATAAAGTAACCTTGCGTGAGTAGCTCATCGGAACGGGCGTGTTTGGGTTACGTGAATAGCTTGTGGTTCGGTTTAAGAAAGAAAGATGTTTTTCAAACGTGTTACGAAACGTGTAACAACAGCTCCGACCGGGAACAAAACATAACAACAAAGATAAAGATGAACCAAGTATGAACAATAGACGGCTTATGTAACACGGAGGCAGCGCACCCCAATTATACGCACAATATTTACAGCGTACAGAAGAGTTAATATTGCCGTGCCTTTAGCATCGATATTGCCTTCAAGAGTAGTTTCAAGTTTATTAATCACAGCAAAGAGACGACAGAAGAAGAAGCAAGCATTAAGGAAATGTTCAAGTTCATCCAAAAATATACCAGCCTTCAGATAGGCCAAGTGACAATCCTCTGCCCGTAATGATTTCGGCTCAAATAGAGCAAGTAGCGGCTAAGCGGCATCAGCCTTCCGTAACAAACCTGTAGAGATTGACGACTTGGCCGACTTAAACTATTTGTATCTTGCCTACTACTAAATGGCCGTATCTAATGGCTGTAACATTACCGAGCAGCCCGAACATGTAACGGAAGACGTCGATCCCGAGCTGGTGTTCCGTTACAGCTCATGGGTAACGTCATGGCTAGTGGTTGGTTACGTCGGCGTTCTCGTGGGTGGTCTAGTAGGCAATGGGTACGTCGTCGCGGTCGTGCACAGCGCGCCTCGAATGAGAACAACGACGAATCTTTTACTGGTGAATCTGGCCGTGGCCGATATGCTTGTTTTAGTCGTGTGCGTGCCGGCTAACCTAATTGCGAACATTTTACTACGTAAGTAATACATCAAAAAAATTGTATTTGCCAATCACTCTAGTACCTGTCTTCTATCTCCCTACGGTTCAAGTAGATATAATATTTCGCATGCATATCCGCCCAATCAATTGAAGCTTGCGCGCAGAACCTTGTTGCATTTAGTATTGTATACACGAAGTACTATAGTGCCGGTATAGATAGATAGATAGATAGATAGATGACCATATCTTCGTCATGCATTTACCCGCATTTTATATCAAGAGAGGTGTTTGCTTGCGATAACGCCAGGGCCATATCGTTTACATATATAGAAAATCATAAATAGCCTTCACGATAGTTCACTTCACTATGGTAGGGTCTAGTGCGATTGAATCACCATTGCCTGATGTGCTAGCCGCTAGAATAACAACAACACTTTCCGGTAACGTCTTCTTCAGCTTCTTGCTTTTATGGCATTGGGATTCGAGTATCTGCGTAGCACAAATCCGATAACGTAATCGGGTTGGTACTGTGAAGCGGACACGTGCAGGTAACTGATAGACAATTACAGTAATCATTTCAAACTATTAGCATTGACTCCCAACTGGACATACGTGGCATCGTTGCAGACGTGACTTCAACGTATTTTTCCCGTATAGACTCAGCCCAACTGCAATCAGTCCTCTTAGCACTTTCTGTTGAAGGCACGTTATCTCCGAGTGCTTTCCTACAAGGTAGCCTTAGTTCAGAGTGAACAAGTTGAACCTAGGCCAAATGTCTGTATGGAAACACTTCGTATATAACCGTTTGCACGCCTGCGAATTGGTACGCAATCTTGTCACTTTGAAATATGGCGTAGCATTTATTTCGGTGTTCGAAGTGAGCGCTTCTCCAAAGCAAATCCTTGTTTAGTCGATATTCATACTGTTGAGGGGTCACCTTCGTTTATGGACGTTTAACTCACAATTAAATGAGTCTGGAGTTTATCTAGGCGTAGATCTGTTGAGGGATCCGGGGTCGACCACAACGAAGCGACGACTAAAGAAATAGTTGTCAGCAAATGAGCCTGATAGCTTTCGGGTATTTAATATGTGTGCAGAAGAATAATTCAAATTCTTCTACTTTAGAAATGAGCCATTTTGATCATTTTCAGCATGCTCAAAGACCCTCGTTCAACCCTGAAGACCTCGCTGTATGTCTCTCAGCGGAAACATGCGCAGAAGCGAACTGCAAAATGTTCCAAGCTGGACTTAGAAGTCTGGGTTAACGAGTTTGATCTCCAACTGAAACCCAGTAATGATTTTCATGTGGGTTTCTAATACCCGCTTATTTACATTTGAGTTGTAGTAGTGGTACTGAGAGGTTCATGAGATTACTGCCCTAATGCTAAACTGTCCACAAAAAAAAGCCAGGTAACCCAGCAGCGGATGTTCGTCGATTAGAGACTTGTCTTATTAGTTATGAGTAACAAAAAAATATCTTAATTTTCTCTCGAACCATGGCAGATGATGAATTCTGGTCGTTCACTTACCTAAAATTCAACTTAGCTATATTTTGTGAGAACTTAAATAGATAAATTCAGATCTTGCGATGACAACAAAAACAACGAGGTCCTCTTGTTTCTTCTTCAAAATGATCCGTTAGCAAATCGTTTAATATACGTAGACGCGGCACGCTACGATATGCATCTAGCCAAAAGATGTCATGCCCCGTCAGAATGCTAAATTCATATAGCCATGCCGGGCATTCATCATATTCCCATCGGGCTGCGGCCACAACGTTGAGGAGACGCCAAAGGAAAAAAGTTAATTTCACTATGTATATGTCCTAATGGGTCGCCTCTTTATCAAAGGACAAAAATGGTGGCCTTATTGCACCAGCATGGCGTCCAGAAGTTTTCACAACAGGGCGAATTTTATCATTAGAAGAAGACATGGAGCCCTGTCTTCTTTGTCAAGCTGATATGGAAGTTCCATCATTGTTATACTTTGGGAACAATTGTTGCACAATAATTGCAACACAATTGTTAGAGTGAAGTGTTCCATTAATACAATATTTTGCTTATCAACATCAAGGGTCCATGCAACTTAAGTCTACGTTTACTATCAAACTGAACTTCTTTTTACAAACAAAACTTCTTTTTATTATTTGATTTTTTCGGGTGTGCGATATGGTTTATGCGTTCTTAGAAATGTATTAGAATGCATTGTATTGAATATGCTTTAAGTAGAACATTTTCTATACCGTTAAATCGGCAGCGACCTTCCGGCCAAATTTGACCACCCTTTTCTACTTAAATACCGCCAATACCGCCGTATCGACACGGCCTTGTTGATTCAAATTTGTATTAAAAAAATACTACACCGCGGTACGGCTACGATGTACCTTTTCTCGGATTTGAAGATTTCGTCGCAAGAGATAATAGCATTTTTAGGTCTCTGACAACTTCAGCCTATTCACCGTAACGTTAAAGAAGCATATTCTTAATGATCTGTCCCATTAAGCAACAAGTTGTCTCAGTAACAACTAATTATCAATGGATCTTAATATTCGAATTTCCGCATAATACTATGTTTTATTTACTAGATTTCTTATATTTAGTAAACAAATAGTAATTATTTTTATGACTTACTTTAATAACGAGTTTGCAACTATAAGACTATATATCGATCTGCATGTGCCTAATTAGGTTCAAACAAGAGAGTTTTATGTTTCAAGTTTCTCGCGCTACAGTTAACTTCATCCAATAAGAAGCGATCTGAAAAATCCCCTCTGACGCATATAGTAATTATTTTTTTTAAGTGGTAAACCTAAGTGTCCTTAAAGTCCATTCCAGAAGCACAACGGCTATTGAGTCTACTTTTTTGGCAGATCGTGTAATACTTTAAAGACCGTTGTTAAAGGGATCCGTTTTTCGCACGCGAGTGATTCGCGTTGAAATTAACGCTGCAGAAAAATCATCGCTTTCTGTCTCTAGATATCCAGCTCAGATGTCGTACAAAATGCGAAGTGCTGAAGGAAGGAAATTTTAAAAAATTAGAGGCTCTCAAAGGCTGCTCCAAATGGCGACAATCGCCAAGCTCAAATATGCGTTGTCTCTTCTGAACGCAAAGTAGGTCTATATACAAACAGCGTTTCCTTGTTATTTAAATTTTAGGTGGCTATACTATTTGAACGCCGAAATTGTGCTCGTATAAGGAATTAGAAATACCCTGAAGCATTGAGGACACATAGGTTTGTTTCACACAGCTCTTATAGATTTGCGATCTATTGTTTCCGTAGGCAAAAGTATAGACATATGCTGCACACGAGCACAAGTACTATAAGACCCTGTTTCACGAGCGCTTTGTAATGGCGTAGTAACTACATAGAGTTTCAAATTTATCGCGCGCGGGTTGCGCAAAAAGCTATTGTTTGCAACAATGTTAAAGTTGGCAAATGGAATTTTTGCTACGTTTAAATTCATACTATGGCCAATCTAATGCTTAGCTGCGGACTAGACGGCGTAGCAGTGGGAAGGCGTATTTGTAACCCTATAACGTATTGAGGGAGGTAATTCCCATAGAATCTGTTAAAACCAGCTGCCCTGTTATTGTTTGATGTACAGTAGAACAATACACCAAACGTACCGTTAGAAGCATGAAAAATGCAATAGTTTTCCTGGAATGAAATAAAGCTTTTCTTAGACAAGGGTTAGCTAGCGTTAATTCCCATATTAACCGCGCATATATTCCCGAGGTAGCTACCGAGAGCTACAACGACACCATTCGGTTTCCCACAGACCCATTTCGGTACGTTTCTACTTGGGCTTGGGCAATTACGACCCGAACAAGTTATCTGAACTTCCTGAAACCGGCACAAATGTGTGCCCGCCTTTAAAATTCGTCGAACACGCAGATTGTAAATGGATTCATGGCAAGAAAAGATGGCCTTAGAGTAAGAATACTTTTTGACCTCAGATCTACAGAATCTCTCGTTAGCGGTGTTGCGCTTCTAGAATTTTCATTGGGACTCTTCTGTTTTGGATTTGTGACTGTGCCGTGAAAAGGCTAGCAAAGGTCAGTGAATCAGTTCAACACTGAAGAACCGTATTTTACGAGGCGATAGCTGATTGAACAAACTGTTTGATGAAAATACTATATACATATATATAAAGAAAATTTAAAGCAATTTATTATGGAACCTTTTTTAACTTTCCGTAAAAGTGTCGGTGGCTAAAAATCAATCAATAATAGCAAAACGATTGTGGGAAATGCCACATCGATCGATGCCGGCTACCGCGGAGAATCTCTCCCTAACATTCATAACTAGATGAAGTAATGAATTTTCGTTGTGTTTAACTTGAGCTAGTCTAAATGCGCTCTTAAGACACGTCTAAAGAATAGATCTTGATACATTTTTTGTGATAATTTGCCATTACATTCTAGAATAGAGTACGATTATCGCCATTTTTAATGAACACTATAGTTTCTCATACTAGCACTAAATAATAACACCTTTTTCTGGTTGGTAAGGGACAAGGTTCACGACTTCCGCTATATAGAGAAGCATCGGTAAAATAAAGTCGTCAAACATAATTTAAAAGCAGCCTAAATACACAAGGAGAAATTCCTTAAGGATTCGCGTGTGTCACTCCTTTCAAACGACTTGATGGTAACAGTAGTGAATGAGCCCGACTCAAGCGTGTTCTTGGGTTTCGTCGCAAGCTGGATCTGTTAGGGATTATCCTGTCGGCGCTGTTGTCCTAAATAGTATAAGGATTCGTATGTCGGTGAATCCGTTCCGGGATGTTGTCTGATACAAAGGCCTCTTGCTCTTTCTTAAGGCAGCCAGGCTCGCTCGCTCGCATATCGCTACAGTCTATCTATACAATTTTAAGCATGAATACCTTTATCTGGGAAGATGCCCTCGAAGCGACTATAAATATTAACTAGGACATAGGGCAGAACGTAGGAACAGGTTCAGTTTTTACGAGCTCTCTATGAACAGTGCCTGCAAGCGATTGTCAGTCTGGCTTAGCTAATCGTTGAGAACGGTGTTTTCAAACGACTGACCCTCAAGCTATTTCTATTCCGGGCCGGATGCGTGGGATAGACTTTGATTTGCACATTTAGCATTTGTCGACTCGACTCGGACTCGAGTAGATTCTGTGCTCATTCGTTGCGTGTAACAGAATTTCAGTGCTGCGTATTAGGTAAGGAACATTCGGAGGATTGCGTCCACAACCCCTTTCTCATCTCCAACTTCCTTCGCCTTGAAGTAAATAGGGTCCAGCGTTGCGTTTCCTTTTTGGGATAAATATAAAACTAAATTTAGAGTTGTTTACTCGGCATGCAGTGTGGCCATAGCTACATTGGAACTCACGAGTTAGAGTGTTGCAGTGGCTAATTCCCGGCTTAGATAACAAACCTGTGACGTCTCGAGAATACTAGGATGAATCGGACAATATTTCCTGCGACAACTTTTTAGAACGACCGTAAGGACTTTTCCCATCTTATTCTAATCTCATATAGTGTAAATTTTCCCGCTGATATGACGGATCAAGTCTGATCTAACTTTACAGCACTGTTCTTTGCTCACAGACAACAACAGCAGCAAGAGCAAGGCAAAGGCACAGATAAATCTGTTTCGTTACTGTAGATGCGTATGCTCCCCTGAACGAGTGACCAAAAAGCCATCATCAAACACGAACCTCAGGGAGATAAATACCCATGTTGGACTGTAAATTTTATGCTTAGAAAATGTTTCATCGAAAAATCTTACAATAGAAACAAACAGACGTGAATACGAGTTTTTCCATTATTCGAAGCAGTTGCTCTGAACGTAAAACAGGAATAGGGTCCAAATATGTATAGATATACCTAAGCAGAACGAGTATCGACGTTCGGCAATACAAATATATACTTTAGAAAGAAAAATTGATCCACGTCAATGGTAAGCTTGCCGCAAGCAAATCGCAAGACGATGACCACGATTAGGAAAGACTAATTGTTAAAGGACTGCTCTATAAAACGTGTCAGGAAAATCTGACACGTCCCCTGAATCGCGGTTCCTCAAATAAAGGTGTGATAATAAGGGGAAACAAATAGAAGTGCACTTCGATATCGAGAGAGAAGGGCGTTGCTCCGTAATAAGGAACAATATGGATATTTGTTTGCATTGCCCCAACAATTCGGCTTCCTATTTCTCGCGGATGTGGATCGTTTGCTTATGGATTTCTGTAGTGTCACACTGGATACGAATATAATGTGGTAGGCACGAGAATGAAGTAGATCCATAGAAAATAAGACTGGGACGGAAATTTGGAAGGCAACTGCTCGCCCAAGATATTGTTTTGAAGACGAACAGACGCTTTTATATTTTTTCTTTTTTAGGTTGTAAAGGACGTTTATTGTTCGACTATCTTATGTCATGGCAGGAATGATGTGTTTCGCAGAGCTATGGAAGTTCGATTAGCTAGATTAGATAGGAGGTATAATCAGTTGTCCAGAGTTTCCTTATCTAAAAACAAACAACTGGCTAAAATATCGTATGTACGAGTTAAGGAAATTAACTGATATTCTACTATTTCATTTTGATGAACTCTGAAAGATATATGTACGTTCTAGTGCGAAATTGCCCCATACAATTTAGCCGCTTGATTAAGTCAAATGTTAAATACCTAAACACCTTACGTCATCAGAAAGCACCAAAAGGTTCTTGTACAACCATAAAAATCTCGCACAGGACGAACGATATATTATTAGACTCTATTCTGCTGTTTTCTGCATGGGATTGATGGTGGAAAGATCGAAAAAGGTGAAATCTACATATAGTGACTCTCCAATACAGCTAACCAGACTGCAACCCTCACGAGGACTCGATTTCATGGGGGTCTCGGTGGAACCGAATTTCAAGCAGCCGGCCTCTTTGGGCATGAGGTGCACTCAGAACTTGAATAGGCGTACGGCTTAGCTGTCTCTGGAGAATAGCGCATGTCCTGTCAAACAACAGGAACACTTTCGTTGAAAAAAATAAATGAACGCTACTTGGGTACGTTGTAGGCCACTTTGCCACTTCGGACGACTGAGGCTTTTTTTTCAACTGAAGTCATATGGAACCGGAATTGAGTTTTTCTACAACTACGCAAAAGAGTGGACGTCTGAATCAGACAGTTGATATATGCACTGATCACATTTTGTCGACTATTGTTAACTCTGTATTATCTAAATGAATTGATTGGTCAACGTGGGCAACCTGACTGGTGCGGTTAATGGTGGGATAACCCCTATATGCAGCCCTTATATTGGAAGCACATTCTATATACATATACAAACACACATAGAAGCTCTGCAATAATTCGGATCGACATTGGATCACGAACAAGGAAAAACAGCAAAGGATACATTGATTTTGCTGGTAGTAAAAGGAGTAGGACCCGTTATTTTCACATTCTTTGTGTCCTAACACAGCAATGATAAACCTGGTGAGACGCTGTAGCTCACCCACGCTTGAGAAGAGACATTTTTTTTAAAATTATCTGTGCATCTAATGACTATTCCATATTACAATTTCAGCTTGGGTTCTCGGAAACACGATGTGTAAATTAGTAGCGTATCTTCAAAACGTAACGGTCAGCGCTTCGATTAACACGCTGATTGCTATCTCTATTGACAGGTAAGAAAACCTGCTGTAGAAGAAACTGTAGAATTCATAGGTACTCACTTTTACAATTATATAAGGATCAAAATAAGAAAATGCACCTTTTAGAATTTTCTCGCGGGAATCGGTGATACATTAAGGACGCACATCCTTGGATAAGTGGGTAAACACTTAACAAAAGTTGCTTCCATGCACCACTTCTTCGTTTCACTAGGATGTTTTCAAACGCCCTGTGGCTTGAGTGGTAGCGAAACAAATCGAAATCTGTTGTGTGTGTCGACATTACTGAATATTCAATTTTATCCAATCAAATAGTGCTGGCTAGTGCAAAGAAGACAGTAAGCTCAATTTAGTATGGCATTGTACCAACTTATTTAGCTTAGAAAGTAGGTTTCCATCATTTCATGTCGGTAAATGTGTGACGCCGGACCTGTACCGTGGCGTTGGTCGTTAAAATATGCTATAGGGTAGAACAGACTAGCCTGAAGAAGGTGTTTTAACCGCTACTACGTGCGGGAAATCAGAAAGATCACATATACACCCTAGGGAAACGGTTATGCTGCTGAAATCGCTACCGCACACAAAATTTGCATTGACTTACTTAGCTGTGAAGCAATATATATATATATATAGGAGAAGATTTTACGGAATCTGGGATATACAGCTTATCCGTAAGAAATCTACGATGACAGCAGTTGTTTGGCGATGTTATCTGTATGAAACGTATGTTTTTTGTGTAACTTTCGCGGCGCCTTAGTAAAACTGGCCTATCTTCGTAATATCTAACTGGCAATGATCAGAAATTACCAAGATAGGGGTCGCCGTCCTCGGTGCAAATTGGCCCGATCCGCACCGACCGGCCTGGCAAAGAACTTTCCCGGCGGGCCGGCGGTCGGCTATCGGCCAATAGAAGAATCTGCGGTTGTTGTTATTACAGATATAAAAGAGAAATTTATACTAGTGCAGATATAGAATGTGGCAACGAATATACATTAAGCAGTAGGGCTGTTGAAGGGGTCGAGAACACTGCATATTCAATGATGATGATGGTTTATCACCGCGCCTCTATTCCGCAGTCAAATGTGTCGAAGCTGAGAAGTTGTTGAAGAAGTAGAAGTTAAAGAATATACAACCGAAGTCCAACCTGAGCAATCTTTATTTAATGGTGAAAATGTAACAAAACCGTTGGAGAAAACGAGGGTGAAATCTTGAAAAAGAAAACTGTAGGAAATTATTGTTCAGAAAGTCGAGAGGCTAGAATAGAGCTGCTACGAAAACCGTTCAGGCTATTTAAAAATCAACGAGTACACTATAGATAGAAAATAAAGCAAAATGTGTACGAGCAGACATGGAAGAAGCTAGAAATCTAATGGTATATACGAATAGATCTTTAAAGGGACGGGATGCAGAGATTGCTAATCGAAAAGCAGGTCTGTCTATATACAAAATGATGCATGTAGATTTATGTATGTAGACCTGATGAAGAGAAAATAATGAAAGTGTAATAAACTGGTGCCCAAGCCCAGCACTGCAACACCGGGCCGGGCTCTAACAAATTTATTTTTACGACTTGTAAATACATATAAATACACATTTTATTTAATTTTGCATTACATGATAAAAACAAATAAATTAAATAAGTGCCGCCGTTTTGTATGAAAAAAAGCCTACTTATATGTTCTTGTCATTTTTAGGTAGGAATCTGGATTTGATAATGTATCTAAAAAACAATAGAAACGTCGATCTATACACGAAATCAGTGATACTGTGAAAAGTTTTTCCAAAGTGTTTTACGATTTTGTTGTGTTTTCGATAGATATCTAAGGACGTTTTTTTTTAAATGTTATTACCGTGAGTTCTTTACAACAACGACAACAGAAAGCTTTGAGTAGAACTATAGCAGCAGAACATTAACTAGTTTTATTTATGGCTAGTAAATAAATATTTTTATATTATCAGTTTACATTCTGATTTATATTCACGTTTTCAACAAAATACAACAATTTTTGCGAAATTCAAATTTAGAAAAAATGTTAATAGTTTTTATCTAAGTTTTACGGAACCCCTGCTGAGTTAGTCATGTTCAAATGAAGTTTAAATAAAAACTAACAGCAAGCACTCGACATGACACAGAAAAAATGTAAAAAAATGAAAAAGAAAAGTTTAAAGTAAATATATTTCGAACCGCAATAATTTCCCGTTTTAAATGTCAGAGATTTTTTCGAATGCAAACGAAAGCTCCAACGGTAAACAACTGCTGGGGATAACAGAGCAGCCTATACAAATAATAATAGTAATAATTTCAAATACCAATTTATACAAGTTTTTATCTGGAAATCGAGATTCTACGAAGAGAATTAATTTGTGCTATAAATCTAGAATGATTCTAACTCTCTTTTGGACTGCTAAAGTTAGCAAATCACTAACACAATTTTTAATAACGTTTTTTCAATTCAATCCGGAATTCCAATCTGGAATTAGAGAAAATTTTTGTTGACCGTTAACGTACGCTTAATACCAATATAAATGAGTGGCTGTTGTTTTAGCAGAAATCGAGTATTCTTTTCTACCGACTAAATATATCATAGAGAGATTTAGAGAGAGGCCGAATTTAGTTAGAATAGTGGACTAACAGTTAAGTTCTGCGGAGATCTTCGATAGCTTTAAAAATTAACGTTAAATTATTACCGTGTACAACTAAAAATTATTTCAGCAATTTGCTCGCCGTATTGACAACAATAGAGTCTCCTCTGTGCGCATATGTCCCAAAATCGAGCTAGTATTCCTTACATACTTGCCTAAGTGATATCTGTTAAATAATTTCAATTTTGCCTAAAAACTAGTATCGGCACTCCCTGTCTTTTAACCTTTATGTCTTTGTTTATGTCTAAACCTACTTCATATGCTTATGTTTTATTTGGTAGTCTATTCCGGGTTGATTTGCTTTCCAAATTTCGGGATGTGGTGGTCGGAGTTCGAATCCGGGCGCAGATACACTATTTTAGATGGTTTATTGATGGATGTACGTCATCTGAACTAAGGCCTTATGATGAAACCAGCAGACGTGAAACATAAAAGACATTTTTAAATATTTATTGTAAATATATAATAACTAGATAAAGGATCATATGATATCAATTATGAAAAGTTCACCATCAACCTTTTTTCAAAATTTCAAATATAATACGCGGAAATAAGTGCCAAAGAGTATTTGTCATCATTCCGCGGGAACCTGCCTCGGGTTCCGTGCTTGGCCTTTAGCTGATCTAACACAACGTCTTTATGGGTGATTTCAATAAAATCCTACTCTTGTTTTAGAGCTTACTGTCTTTGTTACGACGTTGCACAGACGTTATTATGCGATAAACTGCACAGTGGTGTATATGTGGGTTTTGCAAAGTGTTAAGTTAAGAGCTCAGAGAGACCCAATTGGACAGTTTAAGCAGTTGTTTCCTCACAGCAGCGAACAGTTTGTTGAGAAAAGTTTTACCGTAGCATTGTAACCTTAAAAAAAAGGGTCTACAGGCAGCTGTTACAATGATACTTTTTCGTTTTGCATCTGGAAATACAGGTACTGTTGGTTAGGGCCTTCTTCAATACAAGAATATACCCACTGACTTGGATACGCTCCTTAAACTATCGCCGTTTCCAATATATTTTTTTGACTTAAGTATGAGCGTTGTCGGTTTGTAAAGTTGATCACGGTTCCTTATTGCGGAAATCGCACAGACCCTGTTCCCAGTGCTCATTATTGACAGGTGAAGCGACAGTTTTCCACAATAGAGTATTAAGGTCTGTCATACAGAAATGGCGATATCAAATTGCTCTGGTCCTTAATGCTTGATAACCTTAATGGCTGCTTAATCTACTAAATGGTACGCTCGATGATATACTTAATTGTGGACATTAAAAATGAATAAGATAGTTTATTACTTTTTATTGTTTCGTGCTTTTATGTATATCATGTTCCTGATGAACCATTATAGCTAAGATGAATATTAAGGTGATGTCGTACTGTGGATTTTGAAACTGTGTTTCAATTTGACGCTTGATTTTGCTAAGCTAAATAACAACTCGTATTTTATATATCCGATTTTTGTTTCACAGCATAACCATGTAGTTCTCTGTACGTCTGTAAAATTATGTATAATGGATATTGAGAATTTCCTTCCATTTGTGTTTTGCGGTCTATTTATTAACAATATTCGTCGATTTTGAATGGAGTGGCTGAAGTATGAGCTAATGTTTCTGCCTGTTTGTTCTAGCGTCCGAATGAACCGGACGAAGGGAGCGCCGAGTTGCATTATTACTTCTATGTTTTTTCTATGTTTATTATTCTATATTATTATAGCCTGGTCAAGTCTTTTGAAAGCTGATTACACTACAACATGAGAAGGTATGGTAGTTCGGTGACTTCAATGAAGCTAAGTGACACTCGATAGTACAAGTGAAAGATGGCCTAGGCATCCAGAAGCCAATTCGAATTGAATAGCTTAGGTAGAGGTAGTAGAAACGCGCAATACGTTTAAATTAATGGGCGACAAGCAACATGTGACAAACTGACTATGTCTGGAAGCACTATTATTTTCCTTCTCTCCGCAATACCCTTCTGTGTATTAAATGCGGCATACTATTCGAAAGCTTTTGATCTCTTTTAAGAAGAACATGGAGAATTTAATCGAACTAGAGTCCCAAAAACGGACGTGTTCAAATGCAAAAAAAATGCAGTTGAACCCATGTTACAGTTTAGACTTGGCGGGGGTCGAACCTCGTGTGATGTAGTTCGAAAGGTCTGTTCGATGTACGCGGAAAACATCACGTTGACAAGGACTACTTTGCGCCTGTCTACAAAATTTCTAACGGTCATTTTAACCCAGGAGGATGGACCGGTATAAATGCCTGTTCGAGTCGAAGAGGGATTGTGTCAGGGTGTCACTTAGAGAAAACAGCCACTAAACGACTCTTCAAGTACCTGAGGAAATGAGCTGTTGATCGTTAAGCGCAGGCGTTAGGTG